AGGTGATTTGGGGAATATTGGAGGAAGCAATACTTTGCTCTGGGTTAGATGTCAGGAAGTAGGGGTAATTCAATGATTGAGTATGTTAATAAATCTCATTATCTTGAAGGAGAGGAGCCTGGTGTGAAGCCGTAGCCGTTGTCGGTGAAGACGCAGTGGTCCACTCATGACAGCCAGGATGTGGGATATTTGTTTTTTTGTGGTTTGGACCATGTTCACATTTTCTGTGTGTTCAGACATGATTATGGAGTGGCTTTGTCTGATGTTGATGTTCTGTGAAATTGGGTTCAACAGGAGAACACCAAGACGTAGCCGTCAGTGCCCGGCCAGCTCCCTCCTGCTGGGGCTGCTTCTCTCCTTTTCAACGGGCATGTGCATATTGTCGATGATGCCATCAGATCCCAGGGAACATCTGTGGTAAGGGAAGGGCAGCCTTGTCCTTCGGTACCACGCCTCTGTTCAGTCTTTCCAGGGGCAAGTCTCTCCTTCTCCCTTGTTCTCACCACTGTAAGATAAGGTAGACCAATCCTTTATAAAAACACGTTTGTCATTCCCAGGTCTTCTGTTCCATGTTGGGAGGATGGGCTCTGATGCTGGTGTAGTTCATAGATGTTGATGGATTGTCAGAATCTTGGTTGCTCTCCGTGTGAAGCCTTTTCCTTCATTTGGCTGTTGTCTCTAGCACAGCCCACTGGGCTCTGCATACTAGACACTAAATGGCCTGGGTCAGTGACTCCTGGTTAAACTGCTACCCAAGCTTCAATTTCTGAGTTCATAACAACAGTTGCTACTGTTTATTGCATAATTACTGTGTTTTAGGAATTTCACATTTGTCATTGCATTTAAAACATACTGCCCTGGCTAGTGTGGTTCAGTTGGTTAGAGAGTTGTCCAGTAAACCAAAAGGTAACAGGTTTGATTCCTCACCAGGGCACTGCCTGGGTTGTGGGTTCAGTCCCCTATTGGGGCACGTTCAGATTGATGTTTCTCTTTCTCTTTCTCTTTCTCTATCTCTCTTTCCCCCTTCCTGTCTCTCTGGAATCATGGATATATTCTCGGGTGAGGGTAAATAAGTAAATAAACAAATAAATAATGCATTAAAAAAACCCACACTACATCCTTTGAAAATATTATAGCCATTGCACAGGCAAGGGAACTGAGGCTCAGTAAGGCTAAGTGGCTTCTCTGGTCACCTGGCCACAAAGTGACAGAACTGAGGTTCAAACCCATGTCTGTGCTTACTCAAGCTGGCGTTCCTTGCAGTCTGCCATGACCTGTGTTGTGGACATCCTGGACCAGGTCTCTCACCCTCTCTTGGTCCCCCTGTGCATGACACAGTTCTATAGGTATTCAGACAATGCTGCTGGACTGGCCGGTTCCAGAGACACATGCAGAGCACGGCCTGTCTAGCACCAGCCCCTGTAGACCTTGCGATGCCCTGGCTCTTGTTCCCAAACTGCCTTCTCTGGACGGAGCCAGGACCAGGTGACATCCCGACCTTGGATTCACAGTGGAGAGAGGGCCTGTGCAGACACTCACCCCAAAGGTGGGGTATTGCTGAAGTGCATTCCCTATTCTAGCCTGGAAGAGCCCTGAGGTTCAGATGCCCCTTTAGATGACCACGAGGCCAAGAAAAATCGCTTCCACTGGCCTTGCCAAGTTCTACTTAGAACCCATGCTGACCCCAGGTGAGCTGCTTGATAGTGCTAAAGACACGAGAACATAACTTCCCTCAGAATTACCGATCAAAAGGGAAACTACACCTTCTGTCTATAACAGGTTCCGATGTGTAAAGGGTAGTTTGGGGGAGCTACATGCCGTGATGCTCCCTGGGGCTCTGAGTGTTTGCAGATCCAGCGAGGTGGCTGTCCTCCAACAGCTTGAGACCATTTTCATAGAAAACAGGAAGTCCTCTTAGGTGCATTTGTTTGGGCTCCTAGCAAAGGTGTGTTGAAGAGTACCAGCTTGACACCCAGCTTCTTGGGCCTCCTCTTTGATGGCTGCTTTGAAACCCTGTGCTCACCCCTTTCAGGGCAGCAAACCTGCTGTGCTCCAGTTATTGAATTAACCTGGGAGCAACTGGCGAGCAGGGACTGTTACATCATTGGTTTCCTGGTGTAGCACCAAATACATGGTAGATGCTAGATCAATAGTGTTTGCTTAATTATATAGGTTAAGAAGACAGAGACCCAATCCCATGATCCAATGCCATGCCCCACTATGGTTAGGGTCTCAAGAAATGTTTATTGATTCAACTGACTGATCTGAAGCGAAGCAGCGAGTGCATTTTCATGAAAACTTGGATTTCTCTTTCACCATTGCTGCAAAAGGGCCTACAGAAAATTATCTGACATCTGCTCTCAGGCCCCATAACATGTATTTGCTGCCTCTAACATAAACTCCTGACTCTCAGAAACGTCCCGAGGGGAACTAAGGTTGGGTATGAGCTCTGAGATGTTTCACTAAAAGCAGACTACAGTAAGTGGATTTTCAACTATATGGAGAAATGATAGCCTTAAAAATTCCAAAGACGAGATAAGCACAGTAATGTCTCTTTGCCCTCCTCTCTGACCTAGCAGCTGCTGAGCACGTGGGAGTCAACAGGAGGCAGTATGGGGAATATCAGTGGAAACCCCAATTCACAGTGGCATGTTCTCAAGTAGGCACCTGCCAAAGAACAGTCCCCGGGTTGGTTTTTAAAATATTATCAATGGGCATACACAAGATACACCTCACTTAACATGAAGAGGGGTGGTTGACGTGGTGTTGCGTGTCAATGAAGAGTGCATTTTTATGGAGAAATGGAGATTTGGGAGGAAAATATGTTTGTTTTTAAGAATTTGGAGTGTGGTTAAATGGAAGAGACTTCAGACTTAGAATAGTAATGAGTTGCCTCAGAAGCAGAACTAGACCATTGTTCCCTCTACCAGGTTTTTCTCTCGGTCTGCAACAATGCGGCCTTGTGCGGCCTACCGGGTGTGGGGTGCGGTGGCCCTTGCTTGCGGAGCCCCCAGTACTGTTATTTATTCTATTCCCCACATATCTTTCAGCTTCTGCGTGCTCGTTCTTTTGTTGCCCTGCCTGGGCCACAAAGAGCGGTGCACTGTGCTTAGTACTAGGTGCACAGGAATGTCTCTTCTCATATATCTCTATCGGGATGCCCTGCCGGATGTGGCTCAGTGGATTGGGCGCTGTCCCACAAACTGAAAAATAGCCAGTTCAAGTCCCGGTCAGGGCACAGCTGGGGGTGTGTGGGAGGCAACCAATGGATGATTCTCACACACATCAATGTTTCTCTCCTCTCTCTAAAAGTGGATAAATAAAATCTTTTAAAAGATATCTCTATAGGGAGCCCTGTAAGTGACAGCAAACTCATTGCATGTGTGCATACATTGGTTGATTGATTTACCATCGGTCCAAACATATTTGCAGAGTTCCCAGGAAGTGCGCCTCTGATGCCGTCGTTGGGCTTTGGCCTCGTCGGCTCTTTTCTGCCGCGGAGACGAGGTGCTCCCCAGAGCACCCCCACTGCTTACTACCTGCTCTCTGTCACAGAGACTGTTTCTCAGCTCACTGACTCTCCCACCCCCACCCTTGACTGGAGGCTTCCTCACAGCGACAAGGGCCGTGTCCGTTTGGTAAATAACTGCTTTCCTAGTGTCTCACATGGCCCCTGGCACACGTACTAGTAGCAACGTATCAATGTTGGAGAGTAATAGACAAATGCATTCATGGACACACAAAGGCAATGAGTTTTTTGTCAGTTGACAGGTTTTTGCAGGGGATGGATGCCCATCTAATAGAGATCTTCCAGAAAAGATTTTCCTTTGGGCATTAGACAAACCAACCACATTGCAGTTGCTGATTTACTGAGCCCGCTTCCTTATTTAACTGGGAGCCCCTTGAGAACAGGCACAGAGTTCTAATTGTCTTTGAAATCCTATATAATAAGCATGCGTTCAATGTTTGGAAAGCTTACAGGAAGTTTATTTTATGGAAATGGACAGTTTACAGAACAATAATGCTGAATTCTTGAGAAATTCACTGGCTTTGCCTGGCCACTAAGAATACCTTGGTAAATATTAGCTAATATATAGCCCTTTGCTTCCTATTAAGATTTACTGATTTCAATAGAAAGTAACCTAAAGGCTGTGTATTTTAGATAACCCAGACACCAGCGCCAATATTGAATCAACCAATTGTTCAAAAAATGCATATTGGCTCTGTCTGTGGTTGGATTAAATGCCATTGTCTAAGCAAAGTTGAATATGTGCTGTGAATAAAGGGTGTGCTGTGTGAACGATGAATTTATCCTGTAGTCTAGCATTCTCTATGTATAATCCTTCTCACTCTGAATAAATAAATCAACAGTACATGTGAAAAGTACCTTCAGTAAATGCCAGATTTTAGCAAATAAATCCCAAAATAAAGTCTGCTTTTAAATCTGTTTCTTACATAACAGGGAGTGTTGTGTAGAGAGATTAACATGGTATCTTGTTTCTTTCTGGTATGATATTACTTTCATCTTACACATATGTGATCTTACTTTCATCTTACAAATATGTACTTATCTATGTCTAAATATTCCCCTGTGTCTTTGTCAACACTTGGAAATCTCAGCATCTCAGTGTGTTTCAGAGAATAGGCTGGGAGATTGATGATAACTAATTGTTTCTGGTGGAAAGTTATTAGGCACAACCTCGGACAAGCATCAGGAGAGCCACAGAGCGTGGCAAGGAGAGAAGTGCTGGAACACAACCCGCGCCCGCTGCCCAGGGACCTCAGCCGAGTGGCTTGTCATGTCTTAGCATGACGGTATTCAAGCCATGTGAGGGTTGAAAAGATAAAATACATACCCAGGTTGGGGCTTGGTCTGAGAACAACCAATTGCCTTGGGTTAAACCACACAATTCTACTATCCAATGAAGTGTTTTCAAGCTAATACAAATTAGCATCAGTCCACTGACCCAAAGACTAAATTCTGTTAAGCTGGGTCTAAAAGAAATCAGCCTGCATCCAGAGACCAACCCCCAACACCACTTCTTTGCTGTTCCAGCCATGGAGGCTTCAGATCGGAACATGTTTAGGGTGTTGGTAAGTGCGAACCATCTGGGGAAAACAGTATAAGCTGGTTGCTTTTTGTCTCAGCTCTTTGTATGGCCAGGCAGATTATATTTTATTAGTAATATAGGCATGGACACCCACATTTATCCAAGAGATAAGTCAGGGGGTACTTATTTATGCTGCAGTCTTCATCTTCAAAAGCGAAATGAATTTAAGAGGTGGGAGGGGAACAGTAGGGGGAAAACCCCCCTCAGAAGTTGGTATATTAGGAGCCATCTCTGGACTTATAATGTATGGCAAAGAGAATGTGGATTCAATTGATAATTGTTGGCTTTGGAATTTATTATTTTATGTCAGGGCCACTCTATGAAGAGCTTTTTAAACACTGTGAGCTTGCAGGAACCTGGGAAAGGGAGACCGTCCCAGGGAACGCTAGCAAGGTGGAAGGAGGTACGTGCAGAGACAGGGGAGCGACTGGGCAAGGAGGCGCCTCTTTCTCCCTCCATGAGTCTCCCTTGGCACCATCACTGAAAGCTCCCCGAGGACTTGAGGTCAATGAGGGTTGGGTGGGGTGAGGGCAGGCCCCTCTGAGTGTGTGCACTGCTGTTTGCTCTCCTTGTAGCATTGAGAAACATATATATCTTTAGAACCCATCCTCAGAGTTTCAAATCACCACAGCTGTGGTCTTCTCTTCGCCCCTTCTACTTGGTGTTGACTTTTTGTGTTTTCATCTGGTTCAAGACCTTAAGCAAGAAACTGTGGAATATCAGTTTTGTTTAAAATTTATCACTAAGTTGGTTTCGCTTCCTAGTTTGTATGAATAAACATATTTTTGAAGGGGGATTTTGCACTCTATTTTAGAAACACATTTGCATTTAATTAAAAATACCACGAAGACACTGCTTACCATGGTGAGCAACCTAAGAGTGGGGTGGGCACACCTAAAGGACAAGGTAGTCTTGTATGTATGACCCCTTGGTTGCCTCATTGTTGGCTGTTTAGGGGAAAATCCCTTCACTTTCTTGCTGCAAAATAGGAGTCAAAATAATATCATCAATAAGAAACCACTGACAGATTGTATTTGAAGAGCTTAATTCATTGGCTGAATTATTGCATTTATATTTTTTAAAAAATACTAATACATAGAGTGTGCTAGCAGCTGGGAAAGAGGAGTGAATAAAACATGGTGCTACCCTTACAGAGAATTCCTATTTAAAGGAGAGCTCCCTAGTCCTTCAGCTTGGGAGCAGGGAGAGAAGTGGATGGTATTGACTGATGCTGGCCATTGTGCTGCTTTTGGGGGGATCTTGGCATACCCTGAAGAGAGAGCAGAAACAGGCTTGCAGTTCCTCTGAGAAAACTTCTGAAATGATGTGGTAGGATTTGACCAAACTGTACGGAGGGACTTTGTTCTAAACAGTGTTGAACATTGGAACAAAAAGGAAGTTGATTAATATTTGTCTTAAAATGTTTCAGGGAAAGTTAACTTTAGAAAAGAGAATTTCATAACTGAGACATGGTGTGGTAGAAGTTCCTCTGGACTGAAAGCAGGGGACCTTAAGCTCTAGTTGTCATCATGTCCCTCTTTAGATAGGTGACTTTGACTAAGTCATTGAAATTTTAGGAGTCTCCATTCCTTCATTTAATATTTGAGAGAATTAAATCACATCAAGATTTCTCCTGATATGTAAGTACCAATAGCAGTACACAGATGGTTTAGATAGTATATTTGACGAGCTGTTTTTTCATAGTTATCTATTTCTATATATTACAAAAAATATAAATAGTGCATCAAGCTTCTGCTTTCACAGATATTTTTGCTTAACATAGGGCTAATTTTTTTTTAAAGGAGAGCTCACTTAAAAGAATAATATCAAAAAGTCATAGTACAGTCTTGATGGTTATCACAAACATTTTTAAGGCTGTGTGTGACAGAGGTCAGGAGCCTTCTTAGGTTCCTTCCATTTCTATCTCTTGGAATTATTTTTCCCTTTATATTTAAGGCACATGGTCTTCTGGTGGGAAGTTTCTATTGAAAATAGTATTGTGGTATCCAGAATGAACTTGTCAGCTTGCCCAAATGGTCAGATTCCAGATTGTTTGGAGAGTCTTTTCATACATAAGTAACTCTTTATGTGAGTCACCTACGTCACTGCTGCTATAAATATAATTTTGTTTTGTTTTGTTTTTCTTTGATGTGTTTTCAGATCAAGGCGTTGACAGAAAGAATGTTCAAATATCTTCGGAAATGGTTTGTCACTCACTTTTTTGGGCACTCTCGGCAAAGAGTGAGGCTGGTTTCCAAAGACGGAAGGTGCAATATAGAGTTTGGCAATGTGGAGGCACAGACAAGGTTGATATTCTTTGTGGACATTTGGACGACTGTCCTTGACCTCAAATGGAGATACAAGATGACCATCTTCATCACAGCCTTCTTGGGGAGCTGGTTCCTCTTTGGTCTCCTGTGGTACGCGGTAGCCTATATTCATAAAGACCTCCCTGAGTTCTATCCATCTGCCAACCACACCCCTTGTGTGGAGAATGTTAATGGTTTGACCTCGGCTTTTCTGTTTTCTCTGGAAACGCAAGTGACCATTGGATATGGATTCAGGTATGTGACGGAACAGTGTGGCACTGCCATTTTTCTGCTTATCTTCCAGTCTATACTTGGAGTCATGATCAATTCCTTCATGTGTGGCGCCATTTTAGCCAAGATCTCCAGACCCAAAAAGCGTGCGAAGACCATTACGTTCAGCAAGAATGCGGTGATCAGTAAGCGGGGTGGAAAGCTGTGTCTCCTAATTCGCGTGGCTAATCTTCGGAAGAGCCTCCTCATCAGCAGTCACATATATGGGAAGCTTCTGAAGACCACAGTCACTCCTGAAGGAGAGACCATTATTTTGGACCAGACCAATATCAACTTTGTAGTTGACGCTGGGAATGAAAATTTATTCTTCATCTCTCCACTGACAATTTACCATGTCATTGATCACAACAGCCCCTTTTTCCACATGGCAGCAGAAACCCTTCCCCAGCAAGACTTTGAATTAGTGGTGTTTTTAGATGGCACAGTGGAATCAACCAGTGCTACCTGCCAAGTCCGGACATCCTATGTCCCAGAAGAGGTGCTTTGGGGATATCGTTTTGCTCCCATAGTATCCAAGACCAAGGAAGGGAAATACCGAGTGGATTTCCATAACTTTAGCAAGACAGTGGAAGTGGATACCCCTCACTGTGCCATGTGCCTTTATAATGAGAGAGATGCTAGAGCCAAGATGAAGAGAGGCTACGACAACCCCAACTTCATTTTGTCAGAAGTCAACGAGACAGATGACACTAAAATGTAACAGTGGCTTTTCAACACGAGTAAAGTGGAGTTTTGGATATACATGGTAACTAAAAGCATTACAAAGCAATCAACAGTTTGGAGGTATGAAAGTAGACAAAAGCTTTCCAAGTCCACCAGCACAATGCCCTTAAAGTCCATAACTATGATCCTATAAGACACATTTCTGTACAAGGCTAATGCATTAGAACATGCATGGTATTTATAGGAAGCTGGAATATAGAAGTCATTGGAGCTCACTCGGAATCTTGACTATGATTACTGCTATTTGAAATCATGCGATGTTATTAGGAAGAGACAAAATCATCAAAAATTTCATGAGATCAAATGAGATCATTTTAAAAGTCTCCTTGAAGAAGTTAAAAGCTTTGCATAGAATCAGGGAAAACCATTTTCTCATTTTGATTCTACAATAATAAATTGGTCACTTTTATTTATTTATTTTTTGTTTTTTTTTTTAAACTTTCATTCTTTTTATTTTTACTGAATGTATTGGATGACACTGGTTAATAAAATTATATAGGATTCAGGTGTACAATTCTATAGTACATCATCTTTAAGAAGGTGGTCTAGTTTTATTTTTTAACATGTATCTGTTCAGTTTTCCCAACACCACTTACTGAATAGACTATCTTTACCCCATTGTATGTTCTTGCCTCCTTTGTTAAATATTAATTGACCATAAAGTTGTGGGTTTATTTCTGGGCTCTCTATCCTGTTCCATGGATCCACATGTCTGTTTTTTATGCCAGGACCATGCTGTTTTGATTACTATGGCCTTATAATATAGTTTGATATCAGGTAGCATGATTCCTCCAACTTTATTCTTCTTTCTCAAGATTGCCGTGGCTATTTTGGGTCTTTTATGATTCTGCATGAACTTTTGGAATATTTCTTCTAGTTTTGTGAAATACACCATTGGTGTTCTGATAGGAATTGTGTTGAATGAATAGATTGCTTTGGGTAATGTGGACATTTTAATGATGTTAATTCTTCCTATCCATGAACATGGTATGTGCATCCACTTATTTGTATCTTCTTCAATTTTTTCAGTGTCTTATAATTTTCCAAGTATAGGTCTTTTTCATCCTTGGCTAAATTCATTCCTAGGGTTTTTTTTTTTTAATGCAATTGTAAATGGGATTGTTTTCTTAGTTTCCCCTTCTGACAGTTTATTACTGGTGTATAAAAATGCAACTGATTTCTGGATATTTATTTTGTATCCCATTACTTTACTGAATTAACTTACCAGTTCTAGTAGTTTTTTAATGGAATCTTTAGTGTTCCCTATATACAGTATCATTTCATCTGCAAGTCATTTTTATTTTAACATTGACTTTTATCAAAGGAAAAATTGTCTCCTGAGTTAGAGGGAGCTGAACCAACCAAAGAGAATAAGAAAAGACTGTTACACAAAAATCACCTGTGAGACTTTGACCTTCTCGAACCCTGGTCGTTGGAGCTTTCATCTCAGTCTGGGTCACACTATGTTTCTGGAGAAGCAAGGGAAGGCTCAGTCCATTGACTCTGCATCTCTCAGCATCCAATGCAAAGAGCACTGAGCCCAACCTGCTTTACGGTGTATCCACACCCTGCTGCCCAAGTTGGGCTCTGGCCCAAATGATCTCTTGGTATATTTAGACAGAAGCTAAATCTCCACTCCAGAATCTCAATGGACACTTTCCTGCAAGAAAGAATGCTTGATGTGAACATAGTGGTAACAGTTCTTTTAATCTGTATTATGGGATAAGGGGCTACAAATATGTTAAGAGGGTATCTCCTGATCTTCCAAGAAGGCAATGAGGAGTTTGACGGGGTAATGTCAGCTTAGAAGGGAAAGTCCCTCGGACGCTTCTGAGAAAAAACTGTGTCCTGTGTTTTTCTGCCTGGGTTTGCATTGAAATGTTGTTTCTAAAGGAGAAGTGTGAAAGAGAAAGGACTGGGATGCGGCCTCATAGGGAGGGAAGGGCTAGGCCTTCCTTTCTCTAAGGCCGATACTGCATCTTCTACAAGGAACCAACTTAATATTAGGATTGACATTTAGGGGAAGGTTTTACTGTGAATGTCTTATTTAATTCCCCACCTGTTATTTTGAATGAATTCTAGAAAGGATGGTACTCAAAGCTGCTTAGAAATCAAAATGTTTTCATTATGTTGATTAATATATTAAATCCCTGAAACTGTGCATGTTCTTTCTAAAAGTATCAGTTGTTGTGCATCCATCGTGACAGACCAGGGGACGGCAATCCCCTTGCTGAGGGTGGATTTTCTCCTGGGAGTGGTGGGAAGGGTGGGAAGAGGGCAAGTAGGATGCATATGTTGTGTGGGCTTCAGCTTCCCCAGGAGGAAATGCCCTTGGCTGTAGACATGCCCTTCCTGAGCATCTCCTGCACATCCCTCCAGCGTGAGCCTTTGCACATGGCGTGGCAGCTACCAGCAGTTGTTGGTAAGGATGGCTTTGTTGACCTGGGCCTGGGGTTGGTTACCTTTGTACAATCCGTCCCCACAGCCTGGTCTTTTGGACCGAGACCAGTGGGCAGTCTGATGGGTTCACGGTTGCACTATTAGTCAGTGGCCAAAACAGTGGACAAAGCTGGCCCCCACGGGAGATTATTCTCTGCTGGTGTGTTGGCATCACATTTGAATCTACTGATAAAACTAAAGGAAATCAGGCATCTCAGGCAGGAGGAGCTAGAATTCTCTGCTGGGCCACTGTAGTGAGGCTTTATGGCTCTTTACTCCCTTTGTAAACTGGAGAGAAGATGTATGGACTTGGTCCTTCACATCAGAACACATTTCTTCTGGTCTTTTTGTCTCGTTAGCATTAAGCCTGGGGGGCTGCTGGAAGTAAAATGATCCAAAAAGAATTTTTTTTTTCCTTTTGATTGTCAAGAATGCTAAATGACAACTGGAAGCTTTGTGATTGGCATTCATTTCTGGGTTATTTGATGGAAGCTTATATGCTTCCAAATACTCTTTTATTAGACTTAAGGCATTCTGCTACTTGGAGTCTCCTTTTTAATGTAAGTTCCCCTTGACCATCTAGCAACCATTAACAGACATCCAGAAAAGCCCTTGAGAAGTGCCCTCCCCCAGGTACCTGTTGATAGTTCTAAGGGGTGGCTGGAACCCCATAGCAGCATTAAAACCCTGAGCATTTGAAGAGAGAGGGTTACCAAGGGCATAGGAGCTCAGTGAGTAAAAACAAAACAAAACAAAAACATGGGAAACAGAAGGTTCCAGAAGGCCAACTTGGCAGTGCTAAAGGCAGGCTTTTTGCTCTAATGTGGCACCATTGTTCCCAGTAGGATCTGACTACATTAACACTACAGATGTGCCATATTATTAAATTTACTGATTTACCCATTTTACAAGGAATTCAGCATTTCTTATTCCTTTCAAAACAAAAAGAAAAATAAAACCCACAAGCAACTGCATGCTATGATGCATTACCATAGACAGAGTTTTCCTTGGTACTGATTCCACTTGACTTGCCTAATTTATCTCTGTTGCTATGGGGATTTTGACTTGGAGAGTCTGATTCTGGTTTATCTTCCTGGACTTAGGTTGGCTCAAGCTCCAATAGTTAGAGTCCAGATTGGGGAGACTGTCTAACAATTGATTCCTCAAGAGAGAAAGGGTGAGGAAAAGGTCCTCTCTCAGTTGCCAAATCTAAGAAGTGAGACGATTAGAGTGTCTGTTTCCATGGCTGATGGGTGTGTAACAGGCCAGCAAAGAACCTCCCCGGCGGATTGTGTGGACGGTTGAGGGGCACCTTCTTTGGAGAGGTTTCGTAAAATGGGAGATGGGCCCTAAACAGGGTGATTCGGTGAACAGCATAGGGAATCTTCCCCTATTTGGAACAAAGGTTCTGAAAAACTCTGAAGCAAAGAAGGCCAATGAACCCCCGGCCCCGCCCCTGGGCCGTTGTTGTCAGCCATTACAGGAAGTGTGTGTCAATCAAAGCTTGACAGGGGAGATAGAGCATTTTATTTTGGAAGCCAGAAGTTTGAGAACAATGACTGGAATTTCCTCTTTCTGTCCAGCAAGGGCTGTTTGTCACTGAGGAGATAAAAGTCCAGGGGTAGGGAATAAAGGTTATCGGGAACTGCGCAACACAGAGCCTTGGGGAGGGGGGTAGCCGGGGAGGAGGGGTTATGGAGGAAATCTATTTCAATGCTTGTCATTAAGTTTCCATTAAAAGAACATTCAGTTAGGAATTCAAAAATAATTTAATCTCCCCAGCCAGATGTACCCAGCTGGACTCCTTGGAGCAAAGCCCTATGGAGGGAGATTTGCACTGGGGCTGCGGGGTAGGAACTGGTGTGGGCCACTCTGCTTCTCCAGCCAATACACCCTTGACCCTTGACTGCATGGGATCGTTTGTATCTTTCAGGGGATGGAGCAACCCCAAGATTTGTGATAGCAGAAGAAACTTGCTATAGGGGCTACTTACTGAGTTCCTACTGGGTGATAGGTTCTGTTTTAAGCATACATGACCTCATTGAATTCTCCCAGAAATCCTGTGAGGTACTAGTATTACACCTATTTTTTTTTAAAAAATCCTTACCCAAGGAAATGTTTATTGATAGTAGAGGGAGAAGAAGTGGGGGAAGAAATCTATGTGAGAGAGAAACATCGACTGGTTGCCTCCCATACGTGCCCCAACAGGAGACTGAAGCCACAACTTAGGTATGTACCCTGACTGGGAATTGAACCCGTAACCTTTTGGTGTACGGAATGGCGCTCCAACTAACTGGGTGACCTGGCCAGGGTGTATTCCACCTATTTTTGACTCAAAGCAGCTCAGGTAAGGAACTTATCCAGAGTCATTAGCAAGCAAATGGCAGGCAGGGCTCCAACCAGATCTGTCTGTCTTGAGAGCCCATGAGTTTCAAATCATTCAAGTCTACATCCTAACACAGACCACCTGTGAGAGCACTCTCGGGGCATCAGACATTTACCTGGAGCCCACAGGTAGCTGGCACATGTTCCTGGTTC